CCCAGAACTTCAAGAGCTGAGCAAAATTTTACCTAAAATTAATTATCCTGAGCATCATAGACGCAGTGACACCATAAAAGGGACCAAGAGCCAGGGGCGTCTTCCTTGCTCTTAAGAGTATTTCCAGCTGGCACAGAAGGAAGCAGAGGGGAAAGCTTTACAGATTTAAGCGTGAGGATAGAAACACAGTACTTATATAAAAGATAGAAGAGAGAAAAACATGGATAAGCTAGGAAGAGCTCAAATTAGAGTAGTGAAGGACAGAGGCACTGGAAAAAAAAAGCACAAGGCATGGGAAAAGAGCAAAAGTCACAGCTGGTAAACAAGTGGTTGGTAGGTGGAATACAGAATAGGGAAAAAGGTAAGAGAAAGACTTAATAGAAGCGTCTTTGAGTACTTGAGTTTTTTCTTCTATAGAAAGATTAAGTTGCATACGCTTTCCTCGTTAGGAAATGGCAAAGATACTGTAAATGCATATGATCCATGTGCAATGGCTAATGTCACCTGGCTCATGTGATGGAGGATGATGCTGTTTATCTCGTTCCCAACCCTTGCAAGATTCACAAGGGGAAGTCTTTTGGAGAAAGTGTAAGTCTTGTTACCTTTTTAAAAATAAGGTAATTATTTAAATGGATAGTAACTATTGAAGAGAACATCATCTTTTCAAAACTAAACACTCAGAAGCTGAGAAATGCCAAAATTAGCATCACTAACTGAAAACTATATGTAAGCTCTATCTCTTTAAACTCTGTCATGAATTATATTGAAGTAAACATTTCTAGCCAGTGCAATTTAATATGTAAAGCCATGGTCAATAATTTAGGAGAAAGGGCAAACAGACTTTTAAATGTGATCTAGGTTTTCAAACATAGGAAAAAAGGTGAGAAACAACTTTTGCACACACCTTCAAAAGAACATAAAGTGATGCAGAAAATAAGGAATTGAAGACTTGAATCCCAAGCAAAGAATACCGCTTGGGACCGACTTAACACCTGTGATGACAGCATTTCGGATATCTACATTTCTAATCTATGCATGCTCGTGACACTGACAGGCTAGGCTATGGTCAGATGAAGGCGGCCCATCTCCATGACTCTCATTCTGCCTCATGGCTGCAGAAGTGTCCTGCTGCAGACAGGGCTAATGCAGGGGCTTCAATCCCAAGGTCGTGCTAGTAAGCACTTCTGTGAATGAGAAGGAAAAGCAAACATAGCTGTACGCACACAGCAAAAGCACCCTCGAAAGAAGACATCTGATACCAGAAACTGTCCC